TGTGCGAGGTTCGGTGATGGTAGACTCGGTGAGGTTGAGTTTATTCTCCATCTCCAGGTTTATTTCTTCGGAGATCAGCCATCCAGAAAGCTGATTTAACGAAATATTGGTATTGTTCATGCGAATGTTTTGCTTAAAGGATGAGTATTCGGTGGGAAGACCACGAATAACAGCATTCACCACATCACGTTCAGGGATCTCTTCTTTCAAGGCATCGAGATCCGAGAGAATAGTTGCCACATCATCAAGGTATTGTGTCATAGTTTTGGTACCTTTACGAAGAGTGTGGAGTTTGTCCCGAAGCTGATAAACATGAGCGGTGGACACGGAGTTGTACCGTGCGGCCAAAGCATCCCAGAGGGCAGCAGATGTGGTGAAGCCGCGAGCATGTTTGTGAACGGAGGGGCTGATGACCGCTAGGAGGCAGGCGCGGATCTGTGTGTCAACGATGGTCCAGGAGGTATACTCTGGATTAGGGACGGTTTTATCGTTTTTGGAGATAGTTGGCGCCGGGGCTGCTTCATGACCATCAATCCATCCAAGGAGGAGATTAGCTGAAAGAGCTGTCTCGACATTGAGAGACCATGCCGGATAATTTGTTTCGGTGAGTTTTTCTGGGATTAAGTTGTGGAGACTCCGAAGTAAAAGTTTTACTCCGGAGGGTAAGGACGCCAAAGGATCCGACGGGGCTGCCATGGTGGGCGGCGGTCGGAAAAAAAAAGAGAGGCTAGGTTTTTGAGAGTCTTAGCTCCGATACCATGATACAATTTGATAATAACTTGTCTCATTGAATATTGAGAGATATGGCCCTATATATAGGGAATACAAGAGTAATCAAAGTACAAGTAGGAAAGGAAAGAATAATCCTAGTAGGAAAGGAAAGAAGTATCCTAATTTAATTATACTTCCTAATAATAGCAATGTCCATATATAATAATTTCCATAAATAAGAGTAATAGACTGGTCTAGCGCACACATAAAAATATTTCTCCAAAATTAATATTTTAAATTTTAATTTAAGATTTTTAAAACATGACAAATGTTTTGTTCACAAACAAAACAATCACAAATATCACAAATTTACTATTTTTAAACTTTAATAAAAAAAGAAAAGTAATTTAGAATAATTTTAAAATGAAAATTTGAACAATAAATGATAAGTTTGTATATTTCGTAATCATTTTGTTTGTAAACCTAATCATTTATGTATGGTAAATATACTAATACATATTGTATATCAATTATAATAAATTATAATAATAATAAAATAATTGACTGTGATTATGCCTCTAAATATAGTAAAATTTTATGTATGGTAAATTTTACAAATAGTAAATTGTAAATATATTCTTACATATTATATGTCAATTATACTCTTTCCGTCCCTAAATATTTGACACACTTGTATTCCCGAGGCAAAATATTAAGTTTTTTCAATTTATTTTATTTATAAATTGGTATAGAAATAAAAAATAAAATTTACATATCAAAAAACTACATGAAAAGTTCTTCAAAATAAGAGGTGTCAAGAATATTTTATTTTATCAAATAATCAATGAAAACGTAGAAATAAACAAAAGTTTCCGCGACGCTGAAAAAGCAAACGTTGCAAATATTTAGGAACGGAGAGAGTAATAAATAATAATAATAATAATAATAATAATAACAATAACAATAACAATAATAATAATAATAAACCGTGTTTATGTACCGAGTAAATGACGAACATATGTAAGAAAATAAAATTTCATTCCTGACAGTGTAAGTCAGACATTTTTTTTCTAATAATGCAAAATGGATTTGGCTACTCCGTTTCTATTCAAAAAAAATTAATTAAACGGAGTAGCCTAACCCGTTTGCTTGATTTGGCTACTTGCCAAACGGAGTTGGCAAATCGGTTTTGCTATTCTTTATTTTTAGTAATTTTTTTGCCAACAAAGTTGGCTAATCCGTTTGCCCTTTTTTTCTTCATCATGCAAATCCTTTTTTTTCTTTATCATTTTAAATCACCTTCCCTTTTTTTGCTCAAATAATTTTTGTTACTTATAAATAAATTATAAAATTTAAATATAAATATTTTTCTATATCATTAAAATATTTTTGTTCATAATTTTTTTGATAATTTTATTTATCATTAAATTATATATACTCTAATAAAATTTAATAATAAAACTACTATTTATTAACTTTAAGTAAATTTAATGCTCTCTCCGTCCCATTTCAAATTGTCTGTATGAAATTTATTGATAGAGTACATATAATTTATTCCTAAAAAGAAGATTACAAAACACAATCTATGACAAACTTATTTGGTAAATTTAATAATACATAAACTCAAACATAACTTAAATTCATGACATAGTTATTCATCGTTGTGATGTCTCCATGGTCAATAGTCCATGTTATTCATAACTGAAAATCTTTATATCAAATTTGTTCATAAAATATACCATTGGATTCGTCTTTTCGAGACCCATCTATAAAAGTCAATCTTAACAAAAATCATTGACTCCAAAAATTCCTACATTTTTAGTCAACCATAGAAACAATGCTTTGTTGGGTCAAAGAATTGTTTATAAAAGGAAAAATTATCCAAAATAATCTCAACTTTACCTGGTCTTTCAAAAATAATCCCACCTTTTACTGTGATGCATAATAATCCCAACTTTACTGAAATTTGCCAGTTTTACTTTCTACCTCCATCATAATTTCTTTTTCCTTTTTTAAAGATTAGTCTTAGTTTAAAAAATAAAAATAATAGATATAAAAAATGAAAAAATGAGAAATGTAACTAAAATGATACAAAAATAATAAAATAAATAAGGTAATCAATGGAAACTAACTTAAATTTGGTAAAAGTAAAAT